TTAAGGATACACGATCTACTACTTAATCGACACTCCAGGGTCTCGTGGCGAGTGGAAGGTGGAGAAAACTGAGGGAAGTGGAACTTTTACGACGGTCCCTCAACCTCATGTGGTGACTCCAGACAGTAGATATGTGTTTCGTTTACAGGCTCAGGATAAAAACGGCATCGGACCCATTTCCGAGGACTTTATTTTTGACCATAAAGAAGGTATATATATATAATCCTGCTTGAACGATTCTTGCCACTCAGCACGCAGCTATATACTTACGCATGTGTTAGATTATGAGGCTCCACATAAACCACAAACTACATTAAAGCGATTGGGCGCGAACGGTTTTACGGCCGCTGTTATTTACAATGCATAATGATGCGTTTAGTAATATTGCCCAGGTTTTATTACAATACTCACGGCTATTTATGCTGTAGGCTGGCGGAACAACATTAAATAATTATAAATAACAACAAAGAGCGATCCGTGATTCATGATAAAACAACGAATACGACATAAGAATTAATGAAACTCAAACCAAAGTGGCATTTTAATTCATCACCAGTTGAAGTCCTTCTAAAAATGTAAGGAGAATCAGTCACTTGCAAGTAAAAACTGAAATTTCTTTTTCAATATTTCTCTAGCAGTAGTTCATCTTAGGTGCATAAAATAGTTTAGCGATTTAAATTAAACTCAAAACAAGAAGGGTAAGGAACACTTGATTTCCAGTTGATATTTTTTCCTATCTGCTTTATCTCTTAAGGCAAGTAACACATTCTCCGTCACCAGTCACATAAAGACTCGGGCAACAATTCAAGGATCGTTTTTTTTTTTATTGCAATTTATATGATGATAAAAAAGAACATTGAACTAGTCTGCGATATATTCCAAAGAAGAAGCATATTAATCACAGTAATGTTGAGAGGTGAACGATGTTTTGCAGAATTGTTTTACATACTACTGTATCTTAACGAACGGTGTTAAACAAGAATTTACTTTTTCGTTCAGTTCATTTACATTCTTAGCTTAAATGAACTAAATACATACCGATTATACCCTCGCCATGATTATGGGGAGGATCCCAGTGGAGATCAAGAACGTGCGACAACGTACTGGACTCTTTAACAACCAAATTTCTTGGAGCCGATAATGGAACTGAAAGAAACAAACAATTAAAAGCATTGACAACAAGTCGAGGTTTTTGTTTTATAAGGCAATAAAAAATGAGATTATTTCCACATAAATACAAAAGAATAAACATGTGTGGGATCTCTTGTTGCTGTTTGTTATTAAGCACAAAACTACACAAAGGGCTCTCTGTGCTCTGCCCACCACGGGTATCGAAAACTAGTATAAGTCCGCAGACATACCACTGTGCCACTGGGGGGGCGTGTAGGATCTATAGAAACCATTTCTGAAATAGTTGTTTGTATACTTACTAACCTTCGGAACATTTAAATACCTCCCAATATTCACAAGTATTGTTTAAACTGTTTTTTGCCAATTTCACATGAAGTTCGTTTATTTTTTATGAAACCAAGATCCTGAAGAAAATGACGTATCTTTCGTACAATAAAAATACTTATATTAATTTTAAAATATGCTATATATTTTTCGCAAAATTTTCTTCGCATATCTTTAATAGTCTTACGTGATAATTGAAAGACCTCTTTTTTCTGTGTACTTGTTGTAGTTTTATATCTATTTTATGGCTCTCTTGCTGTTGACAGAGAGGAGAAAGTTGCAGATTTAGAATATTGGACGACTTCGAAGTTCCAATTCATTATTTAAGTGCCATTAGTTTCATCATTCCAGCATCTGGACTATTAGTTAATTGTACCCACCATATGGACGGTTATATTACTCGCTTCCCTGGACTATTATCTTTTTCCCGTTCTTTTTTTATTATATATACGTAGTTAACTTCTGTTAATAAGAAGGAAAAATCATGGTTAAGATAAAATTCAGTGGATGAACTTACAATACATCTCTTCTGCATAACACTTAAAAATATAATATGCATTTCAGGCAGCATAATCTTGGAAATGAAAATACCACTCTAGTACTCCTTTTTTGTCCGTAAGTTATTGTGGTTACAGATCAAGCTGTGGGGAATATTTATTGAAAGCGCATCGAAGAACTTGAATAAAAGAGAGTTTTCTTTATTACGTTATAACCTTCCTATGTTTTCCAAGGCACTCTTTTAATCGATGAATATCGTGAATCCTCTTTAGGAATTCGTTATGGTTTCGTGATAGGTAGTGTATTAATGTTCTTGTCACTTTGTCTTTGAGGTAAATATACTTTCTGGTTGTTTTTTTTACTTCATGGTCAGTGTATTATTGTATAACCATGATGCCGATATAGAATAAATATGCAAAATCGAAATTAACATATATTACTCTCAGTAAAGTTTAAGAAGTAACGCTAAGCACTATAGATAATAAACACTAGAGAGGAATGTCACTTTTTCATGTCTTCTGCAAATTCATTACTGACATGGCTTACACATTATTGTTAAACTACTTACAAAATAATTAATGGTATCTTGATAAGATCAATTTAAGCAGCTTAAGAGCATTAACTTAAGTCTTTATCGAGGAGAGAAAATAATACCATTAGTTGCTGGTGTCGAGACATCTTCGGTTGTTTTTTTTCCACATGACTCCTCACATTCTTCTTTGGTTCGAAAGTTATTTTCATTGCCTTGACAGCCACCGTAAATAAATTCCTCGCATTGGTTTTTGTCTGAGTTGTAATAGTAGTGCCTCAATAAAGCATGACACGGACCAGAGTCACTCGGAAGGTTGCACAAATTAGTTGGAGTTGATGGACTACTGCTCGTTAAATCTGCCACAACTTAAGAATAATTACATTAGATAGTATATTGTAAAGCCCAATCCTACTCCATTTGAACAGTATCATACTTTAATCTTCCACAATAAACTACGATTAAGAAGCATGAAAATATTTGTCATTTGTTAGCCGCCAAATGACAAAATTATGAAATTATTGTACACTTGCAATATTGGCTTTTACAACTGAATTTTTAATAAATTATGTGAATCCAAAAAGTCAGATGTGTTGTTTAAATTAGTATATAACTAACACTAAATGGAAAACAACAATAATACTTATCATCAGTCTTAACATCACACTTATATATCTTTGAGATATCTTGAAAATTCTCTGAAACATTGGCATTACGTGTTCAAGAATTGTCACTGAAAGAGAATATTTGGACGACTTTTTCTTGATAAAATCCATCTTGGGAACAAGTGATAGTAATACTAAAATTGCAATATATATATAGCAACCTGTCATCCTAGAAACTTAAATATTCATCCATTTAACCAAAGTTATGGATTTTCCCTTTGGAACGATAATAGATTTTCTCCAAGAGTTTACTTAATTAGATATTACGTATCTAGGCATGCACCCAACTTTTACGATATTGATTCTTTGTGGTGTGCAGATGTACACCTAGTATTTCTTACCATCTTTTGTTAGTAAGAAGAACATTTCAAGCTCGTCAAACATTTTCAAAGTTATTTACACATACACGTTTGTAGCCGTATAATGTTAAAAATAGAACGTTGATCAGTGAATGTAACTAAATTCTCTTCGCCATAGTTACCTATTGTTCTGGGTCATTCCCCTTTGGAAACTGCGCTTTCTCATTGGAAAGATTGATGTAAGATAGAATACACTAAATAAAGATGAATGAACAGTGATATTTTCTACTCGCGGGGATAGATGATAACTAAATAATATCTCCCTTATTTTACTATTAGAATAACGTGGATGTAGTGGGTAACATATGCGCATTGAAATGTATAAAGTTATAGTTGTTTATTTAATGTTCTCTTTGTTTACAGTGCAGTCTTTGATACACAATAAACAGGTATACAGCCAGATATCTCTAATAAAGACGTTATCTTTCATCTTATATACTCGTCTCTTTCATTGCTGTGAATAAATATAGATTACTCTTTTCACTTTTTTTTTACATGTTGGTCTTTTTCTTTAAAGAAGCATCAAAGTTAAAGAACTCATATGTACTCAGTACTATATTTTCAGTTTGAACATTCTATTATCTGAGGAATACGACATGAATGGTAAACCAGTGTGTATAAAAAAAATCGTGCATTTATATCCTTTAACGTGTGGTACCAAATCCTAGTTGTATTTCTACCACCTTTCTTGGCACTAATTACTCGGTTATCAATTGCTTTATATTTATAAAATTAGTTAATAAAAAGTACAACAGTTCAGTTTTTGTCGGCACCCGATTTATAAAGTTCTGTAATTATTTTCAGTCCGAAATATTTGCTTTTATTGCAAAATATCTATGTAAGTCGTATGGTTTCAAGAATAAGCCAAAAGCTTCGAAACAAAGCATCTGGTTACTGAATTAAACAAGCAGACAGTTTACATTTGGGTACATGTATTTAAACCTCCAATGTCAAAACATGGGATTGAAGTTAACATTCCAGGCTTCAAGCCATTGACGCAAGCCTGCTGAAAGAATTAGACATTCAATAACTTATTAAAGATCCTCATTCTCCAATACTTGACGTTATCTATATAACCTCTCAAAACGCTTTAAATTGCAAGGGATAACTTCAAATCATATCATATAATGTCTGAAATGAACAATATCTTTCTTAGCCTTGCGTCCGTGGCTTTAATAGTCTTTCAAACACAGATAATTAATAGTAAGATATATCAAGACGTAAACTGTCACTGCCATTGGTTCCACCTTGAATAAATAAAATCCTCATGAGGAGTAAGCAGCTGTGAGAAACTTCAACAATTTTGATAGTATCATTTGGTCAGTTGTTGAAATGAAACATTGCATCTGTATATTTCACCATCAGTAGTTGGTCTTTCAACGAGAAACACGCTATTTAGCCATTTGCATACAAATGAATATTTATAAAACCCTCATTTTAAATAGTGACGTCTAAAGACTCCAAACATTCTTAATTTTATAATATTCTACATACTTTCGTTATGCTCAAAAATGAAGTCCTCAGAAATGGGTCCGATGCCGTTTTTATCCTGAGCCTGTAAACGAAACACATATCTACTCTCTGGAGTAACCTCATGAGGTTGAGGGACCGTCGTAAAAGTTCCACTTCCCTCAGTTTTCTCCACATTCCACTCGCCACGAGACCCTGGAGTGTCGATTAAGTAGTAGATTGTGTATCCTTAGACAAACAAATAAAAACGAACAATTATTATACAACTGTTTTGTTCAGGATAAACCAAACACAAGTTATGTTTGTCAGGATTTAAAACATTGAAGTTGCTTTTTTTGTTATTGTTTCTTTCTTATCTTTTTCTTATACATTCACTCTTGATGATGAATCATGGCAAATCTTGTGTAGAACAATTAGGACATCGTCGAAAATGTTAAAGATTATTGAGCATGAAATATGACTACTGCTTTGTTTTACATTAAATGAAAATATAATATACAAAAGATAAGAAAAGCATGTTTCTAGTATACCATTTTTATTTTAGTTACTTCCTTCCTTTCAAATTAAGGAACTATTTTTGTATTCTTTATAAAGAACTACGTACAGATTAAAAATGATATCCATTATGGCCTAAAACCATTTTGTACTAAGTAGGTATGTTGGACGCTTTTAGTTTATTCTAACTACAATGTATATTAATTGAATATTTACGGACTTGGGTAAGTAGGATTTTCCAGACAAATTCTAATATTATTTTTTTAGCAATTTAGATCAATAACATAGGCAACGATATTTAAGTACTTTATTTGCAAAGGTGTTTTTGCTAAAGCCAATATGATTTAATATTACAACAAGAATATTTTCAAATTGATTCTCGTCCGTTAAATATTAAATCAAGGAATGGAATCCATCCTAATGATTGATAGAGTTAAATCGTGACCCAAAATGTTTCTTAATGTATGGAAGCTTAGTCTCGAACTTTGAGATGACTTTCTTTAGAATGTAGAGGAACTGAACGAAAAAATAAATTCTTGTTAAGATCCACTAGTATACAATTATACATATCGCTCATCTCCCAACATTAATATGCTTCTTCTTTGGAATATATCGCAGACTAGTTCAACGTATAAATTATTGCTATTGAAAAAACGATCCTTGAATTGTTGTCCGAATCTTCATGTGACTGGTTCTGACACTTGACAGAGAATGTGTTCTTTATCTTAAGAGATAAAACAGGAAAAAAATATCAACTGGAAATCAAGTGTTCCTTACCCTTCTTGTTTTGAGTTAAATTTAAATCGCTAAACTATTTTATGCACCTAAGATGAACTACTGCTAGAGAAATATTGAAAAAGAAATTTCGGTTTTCATTTGCAAGTGGCTGATTCTCCTTTTTTTGGTAGAAAGATTTCAACTGCTGATGAATTAGAATGCGACTTTGGTTTGAGTTTCTTTAATTCTTGTATCGCGTTTGTTGTTTTATAATATGTAGTTCCAACAACCAACAAGATGTAAAAATAAAAATAAATTAGCCATCGCTTAGATTAACTAAATACATACCGATTATGCCCTCGCCATGGTTAAGAGGAGGATCCCAGTGGAGATCAAGAACGTGCGACAACGTGTGGGATTCTTTAACAACTAAATTTCTCGGAGCCGATAATGGAACTGAAAGAAACGAAAATAAAAAGCATTGACGAAAACTTTTTTTTTGTTGTTCTCGCCTAATTTATTTTATAAGGCGAGAAAATATATGATGATTTCAAATAAACGTAGAAAAAGTAAAATGTGTAGGATCTGTAAAAATAATTTCTGAGATAGTTGTTTCTATAACTACTAACCTTCGAAACATTTAATTACCTCCAAGTATTCCCAAGTATTAGTTAAAGTATGTTTGCCAATTTCACATAAAAATTGTTTACTTCTACTAAAAGCCTGAGAAAGATGACGTATTATACAAGGTTTATTTTTATTTTGCAGGATTCATCATATATTTACCGTAACATTTTCTTCCCATATCTGTAATAGTCTTAAGTGACAATTCAGTTAGATTTGATCGAAACTTCTTTTGTGTTTCCAATATTTCGAATGAAATAACTTCAATAAGAAAAAACATTTAACTTATATAAAAGTTTTGTCATTTCCTAGCCTTAGTTGATAATTTGTGTCACCAGACAAGTGCATGTGTGTTTGTGTAATTATTGTTTTTGCAATATGAATTTTGCGTAGTTAACTTTTCGGTTACTTTGTTTTATTGTGTGTTGAACTACGTTACGTACAATAGATCATGACCAAGGTTCAAAGTGAAGAGATCTACAAATATCATCAAATCTTGATCCAACTGGGATTAGATACGAGTTTTGCAATCCATGCTAAACATTGGATTTCGGATCTTGTGCTTTATTGTCTGAGCATTGCAATTGTTTCTGAGGGTGGGGGAGCTGAAGATGTCACAACAGCTAATCGTTAATATGGTATTGTAATTATATACTAGTGAAATACAAACTTTTGTGTTCTGAACCAAATTAGGATTATCTTTAAAGTTTGAACATTACATGAGATATACAGTTTTGGTTTAAGTATAGAATGTATCCTAAGATGATAATAAGCATTTTAATTGCGTGTTTTTGTGGTATTACATCACAATACGCTGATAATACTTTTTTTAAAAATCTTTCTTGATTGACCCTATACAGGATTTCAGTAAGAAGAAACATAACGACTGTTCACCCTTTGTGCTACACGCCGCTGCCTCCGGCCTTTCGCTCAATACCAAATATGTGGAAAAGAAAGTGTCACCCACAGTACACTAATTTGTCACCATATTTTTAATACTTTCACTGCCATGTGAACAGGCATGTTCTCCAATACAGTATTGCAATGTCAGCTTGGAATTATGTACTACCAGGACGAAAGGATATTCCCCTATAAACTTCCCTAAGGCCTTCCTGCGACTTTGCGGTTAGTCTGGAGGCTAATAACGCTAAAACTCGGATTTCGATACCAGCTCCTTGCCTAGCTTTATACTTAACAACAAAACAAGTTTTCCAGAATTTACTAGTTCAGGTAAGTAATTAAATATAAAAAATGCGTCTCTTTGTGTATTTTAGTATGTATTTGAAATTAAACCTGGCACTGAAAGAATTATCCATAAACATGCCTGTGAAAGAGTTAAATGAAGCCCAAGAATAAATAGTTTTTTCTAGCTAATGCTAATAAAGAGTAATAGTCTTGTGCGTTTTCGATGTTATTTTTTATGAGATATTAATTTCAAATTTGATTAATTAAAACATGGCATGTGGTACATGTTGAGCAATCATCTATACGAATACAACTGTTTTTGTCAATTTTAATTAGTGATAGCCTTGGAAAATTATATTCTATAACTAACTAATTTTACTTCTAACTGTCCACAAGTGCACTGAACGTTGTTTGTAAGTGAATTTAATAATGTTCACGAACAACGTATTGAGAAACCTCAGTGTTCATAAGTATCCATAATCATGATCAATGAATGATACTTAAACTCACAACGATTTGTGGAACTTCAATGATTCGCATTCAACTAGAGACATTTATGTCATATTAAATAAAAACTACCATCAGTTGATTTACAAAAACATCACGAGATTCAACTAAACATTTATAGTTGAGGATTTACTGTGATAATATGGAAGCTGTTGAAAAGAATTCAAAATATATAATTTTATTGGAATATTGGATTATAGGATTTTCTACACCCAAGTTTAACAAAAAAACTAATCTCGTTTTTTGCTCACATAAATTTAATATCAGATAACGAGAAAATGTTCATCGTGTATCACATCATACAACTTTTCCTTGTTTATCCTGTAATTGTTGTTGTTTTTTTAATCTAAACCGACCTCACAATGTGGGATCCCACTGGGTTGTTGTCTGAGCAGATAATGATCGTTATGGATATTATTTTATTTCAGCAAAATGTGTTTTTGCTATATGTGTTCAGAATTGTTTATCGTGACCAGTGATATGAACAACAATAGTGTGGTGGTCTTTAATATACCTGTGTTTGTCAAGTCGTGCGTTTTACAATGTGTGGTCTTTGAGTTTACAACCTATATCGTCTATCCCCCACCCCCTTTTTTTCTCTTACAAAATGTTTATCACTACCCCGTGTTATAGAGTTGAATGAAGTAATAAAAGGTGGTGACAAGTCCTAATTCCTACCATTAGAGATGGAAGAAATGTGTACTATTGATATCACGACACAATGACACAACAGGATCACTTACACACGTTCTTGCAGTACTAGTGACGTCTCCAACCAATCATTGTAACAGAACAGGGAGATGGAGAATTATGGAAACACAGACATTCCCTTACTGTGATTTTTAACTCGACCTATGCAATGGTATGACTTTTAAAATATATGGTGGTGCGCGTCTTTTGTATCACCTTGTAATTTGTTTACTAGTCTGAAACACAACGCTTTTAATCTGTAAAATGTGTTTTATTAAGTGAATGTGTTTTTTTTTCGAATGGTTTTGTGGCCCTCAGATTTCATGTAAGGAGATGCTCGATATTCAATCTTTTGTTTCCTCCTCACATTCTATGATAACATTTTTGTTTAACCACAAAACCTAAATAATTTTCTTATCAAGTAACTGGAAACATTCTGAAGTTTTCTCATCCGTAAGATATCTTTGAATGTCAGTTATTGTCGTGATACGATCACATAAGACTAATTAGTAATTAGCTATGTCTTATTATAACTAGATAATAATTATAATTAACAACTAGTAATAATAATAAAAGTATCTGATTACTAATTAGACTACTAACTGTGAGAACGATCCATATTCGTTTGCCATAATCCTACAGTGGGTTTTTAATATGTCGAATTAAGTTGTCAGAAAACATTACGAAGTGGATACATGTATTACATGAAAAAGTAGATACTCACTGATTTTATGCCTTGAATAAACAAATATGTCTTTACACTTCACAGATTTATGGTCTGCAATATTACTAGTGTATACCCATTTATATTGTATTTTTATTTAACCGTAATGTATTTTTTAAAAACAAAATTATAGTCATTTTACCATCAAACATTCCAGCATAATGGGCGAAATCATTCTAATGAACTATTATCATGTCTAATTAAGGAACTTTGTTCTTCACTCAAATGAGATTCTTTCGTGGATTAAAGTTTTATTTTTGTTTTGTGGGAAAACCTTTAGATTACAGGACTTCCAAGTTCTACATCATTGAAATGTTACTGATGGACAGTAGTTAATTTTACCAATCATATGGAAGTATATATTACTCGTTTCACTGGAACAGTATCTTTTCCAGGCGGTTTTGTTTACACAAATTTAATTAACTTCTGTTAATAAAAATTTTTCACAACATAGTTAAGTTAAAAATCTAGGGATTAACTTATACTAATTTTTTTCAGCCTGGCATTTAAAATGCATTTAAGACAGTATATCCTTGAAACGGGACTACTACTACTACAATAATAATCTATTTTTTTCTATTTTTTTATGCTTAGATTACCCCTGCAGATAGGAGGGTATTTTTAAAAACCGTAGGAAAAACAGATTAAAAAAGAAACTTCTCTTTAGTAGTCTGGCTTCCGATCTTCTTCGAATAACTTTTCTTAATCGACGAACGTTATGAATATTCTTCAGGAATTTGTTGTAAAAGCTTAAAAGATAGAATTTGTACAAATGTTTCTTTCACATCATGCTTTTCATTTCCTTACTATGAGGAAAAGATGCTAAACATTGTAAATAATAAACACCAGAGTAAAATGTTACTTTTTGTATGCTTTCGGTAAATTATTCACTAACATGGCTTACATACTACAACTACTTACTAAATAATTAATGGTAATTTGGTAAGATTAATTTAAGCACCAATTTCAGTCTTTATCGAGGAGAGAAAATAATACCATTAGTTGCTGGTGTCGAGACATCTTCGGTTGTTTTTTTTCCACATGACTCCTCACATTCTTCTTTAGTTCGGAAGTTATTTTCATTGCCTTGACAGCCTCCGTAAATAAATTCCTCGCATTGGTTTTTGTCTGAGTTGTAATAATAGTGCCTCAATAAAGCATGACACGGACCAGAGTCACTCGGAAGGTTGCACAAATTAGTTGGAGTTGATGGACCACTGTGCGTTAAATCTGCCACAACTTAAGAATAATTACATTAGATAGTATATTGCAAAGCCCAGACCTACTTTGTTTGTATAATATCTTAGTTAGATCTTCCAGAAGAAACTACAATTAAAAAGCATAAACATATTTGTCATTTGTTAGCCACCCCCTTTGGAACAGCGGTAAGCCTACGGACTTAGAACACTAAAATCTATGGTTCGATTCCCCGCGACGGACATAGCAGATAGTCCAATCTGGTTTTACTCTAACACAAACAAACACTTGTTAGTCGCTGCTGTTATTTTTACATATGTGATATTGATTTTTATTACGAAAATTATGTTAAACAAAACGCCCAGTGTTTTGTTTAGATTAGTATATAACAATAAGAAAGAACAAAAATAATAAACTTATGAAAAGGGTAAAATCACGCCGCTTAATTACTTCAAAGGGTGAAATAAAACTTGATTCTCTTTTGTGATACATATATATATATATATACACATACATACAGAGCAATCTGGTTAATTTTTATTAGGGTTTTAAATTTCAGAGAACAGAAACTAAAATATTGTTCCTTTATTTTTACAATTACTGTATCAGATTTATCTTCTGAGAAACGCTGGAATATTCATCCAATTAACCAAAGTTGTGGATTTTCCCTTCGAAAGGATAACAGACTTGTACCCAGCCATTACAGTATTAATCCATCGTAACATAAAGATGCACACCTAGTATTTTTTTACCTTCTTTAGTTATTAAAATGAACATTTCAAGGTCACCAAGAATTTTCTAACATATATGTTTGTGACTGTATATGTAATTTTAAAAGTAGGACGTTGGTCAGTGAATATGGCTAAGTTCCTTTTGCTATAGTTACCTATTGTTGTGGGTCACTCCCTATGTTATCATGTGCGTTTTCGTTTTGGAAAGCTTGCTGTTAACTAGAATACACTAAATAAAGGTTAATGATCAGAGACATTTTCCACACATGTGTTTCGCTAATGTCAATAAATATAAGGATTTTCTTTTAACTTTACGTACATTGTGTTTGGTCTTTTTCACCAAAGTCAGTCAAAAATAGAGAATTTAAGTACAGTAATACATTTTCTAGTTCGAACATTCTGTTATCTGTGGAATACTACACTAAAGGCAAACCAGCGTATCTTAGAATATCATGCTTTTATATCCTTTAACGATGCGATATGTATCGCTAGTGGTATTCTAACGCTTTTCTGGTCACTAATTACTCAGGTATCAATTACTTTTTCTTTATGAATCTCATTAATTAAAAGCATAAAATTATTTGTTACTTCTCAGTACCTGAATTATAAAGTTGGGCAATTATTTTCCTTCCGGAGTATTGGCTTTTATAACAACATTTATATGTAAATCCTATTGTTTCGATAATAAACTAAAAGCTTTGAAACAAAGCATCCAGTTGCTAAACCCAGCAAAACAGACAGTTTACATTAGGATACATGTATTTCAAACCTTCAATGTCAAAACATAAGATTTTAGTTAGATTCCAGTTATCAAGCCGTGGGTGCAAGCTTGCATTTGTGATTAAACATTTAAGAATTAATTCAACGGTCCCCCCACCACCACCAATTCTTCAACAGTTGACGCCTACCGATATTAAGAACACTAACTTCTGAAACGCCTAAAATTGTAAGGAGTAATTTCAAACCACATTATATAACGCCTGAAAGGAACAATACCTTTCTTAGCCTCGATTCAGTGGCTTTAATGATCCTCCTAAGATAGATCATTAATAGTAAGTTATATCACGATATGAACCGTCACTGCCAGTGGTTCCACTTTGGGGAATAAAATTTTCATAAGGAGTTCACAGTCCTATAGAACGCCCACATTTTTATTGGGCTGTTTGTATCATTTCGTCAGTTGATGTAATGGAAAATTCTACCTGTAAATGCGACTTTAACTGACACATGATCCAAACAAAGCCTTCTTTATTGGGGTTTCCAACCTGAAACATGCGTGTAAGCGTGCGAATAAATATTTATTGCCTTTATTTCTCTAAATTTCAGATTTTGATTTTCCCTTAAATTTAGCATTAAACTTTATAAAGTAACTTTTAAGCATTCGCTTCTAATTATATTAAATCTACACTAGGCATAATTAGTACCAAATATTTGAAGCTCGATAAAAATGCATCTTTAGTACGTTGTGTCCCCATATCTTCCATTAAGAGTATTAACTTTATAACCTCTTCATTCTAAACAGTGACCTATAAAGATTAAAAAAATATTTTTAAATAGTGTACATACTTTCTTTATGGTCAAAAATAAAGTCCTCAGAAGCCGGTCCTACGCTGTTTCTTCCTCGAGCTTCTAAACGAAACACATATCTACTCTCTGATGTCACGACATGCGGTTGAGGGATCGTCGCAAAAGTTCCTCTTCCCTCAGTTTTCTCCACTTTCCACTCGCCACGAGACCCTGGGGTGTCAATGAGGTAGTAGATTGTGTATCCTAAACATAACGAAACTGAAACCTTAGTTCTGTACATCTAGTTGAACAGATTACATAACCTCACAAGAGCACAAGGTTGTATAAACATGATCACAAATATGCATTAATAACAAAAGCCGCAATATCTAGTTAAAGGTTGACGAAACTAATATCATTAGCAAATTATAATTATAATCATTATAATCATTAATTATAACTCTAGCACTTGTTACTACCTTTGAAATACAACGACAAAAGGTTTTTACTTCTTATATTCTGTAATTAAGTGGAATTGTGTATTTGTTTTGGATTGTTTACAGAAGATGGACAATAAGTTTAGTCTTCTGTATTCTCCACAAATTACTATAAACTTTTGGACTCATTTATATCATCCAATATTTCCTGTATTCTTAATCATGTTTGTTTGAATTCACTAACTATACACTTTTAAAAATCTTGCATCTTGTCGATTTACAATATTGTAAAGTACTAACATAGAACAACTACTTACGAATCGACAAAAAGAATAGTAGTTTTGTTCAAAATTGGTGCAGTCGTTTATATATTTAAAATGTTGCGTATTGACGTACAAATGTAATTACTACTTTACCATCAACAGGATACCCAGTAATGATACAGGTGTGGGCAAAAGTAACCCCAGAAGAGTAACTTCAGTGAGTATACAGCTGTATGGTAACGTTTGATTGCACCTGTACTTACTACTGTTTCTAACGTCCTTAAAGCTATTCGAAATACTTATGTTATAAAAAAAAACCATTTTCGTGCTAGAATAGTTCAGCCACTTCTCTGCCACGTATTTTGTCACAGATATATGTTTTGGCTGAGGAAAATGTTTAACAAATATATAGTAAAACTAAACAAAATATAGGATTGAGGGGAAAAAAGAACTAACCAGTTTTAATGTCGTCGTTTTTTTTATACTAATTAGATAATCTAACGATTTAAGTATTAATAAAGACTCGTTAAGTGGTAGTTTGAGGGTTAATGCTATGATTGCATGGATGGTACAAGAAATGGACCGCTAAGCCTTGTCTATAGCATTTAGGCTTGTAGCCCTTTTAGTATATAACAAAGTTCTGTGAATTTAACACAGAACTATTTCATTGATCTTGTAAGAAGTTGAAGGTATGATCCCCCTCACTGTATCGACAGTATCTCTCTAGAAATATGTTTTATACACGGGTTGTTACATAAAATTCAGCACTGATTTTCAATTATTTTTTGCTGTGGAGCACTAAATTATACGGACCATAAATCCATGGATAGGGAGGGAAATGAATAAACAGTTGTTTTTGTTGTTGTTTTTTTAATAAACAAGGAAAAGGCATTTAAAGAAATAAATGAAAAGCATTACGTCTTTAATACATAAATAAGCAATATTTCTGGTTTGTCCAGTAGTCAGTTTGACAGGATTTTTCAAATCATAAAAAAGTGGACGTTTAAGAGTTAAAGGTAAGTTGTAATGGTTTAACTGTTAGAATACTGCATTGACTAGTTTACACCAACAAAAAAAAGGATTAAGAAGGAACTGCATCATCAGTAACTGATGTTATTTTATGCTTCCTTTATCCTTATTTTTTTACCTCAAAATTATTGATAAAAAACATACCGATTATATCCTCATCTGGACTAATAGGAGGGTCCCAGTAGAGATCAAGAGTGTGTGACACTGTGTCAGATTCGGTGACCACCAAATTCTTTGGAGCCGATAATGGAACTGGAAAACGAGAGATGTACAAGTCAGTTTTCTGCGTCATTTCTCATGCCTGGTGAGATGAAAGTATAACCATTATATAATATTTTATGATACACATTTCCCATTTAAGTTAACATCAAATTTTCTATATTTTTATCAACTGAAGAAAAAATACTTGGATGTTGATCTTCAAGAACCGTTGCCATTGCCTAAAATATCTCGAATATTTGTTTTTACACACCAATGAAGTGAAGAGTAAGGCTTATGAGATTCAACCTCCTACAGATTAATTGTCTGTGAGTTTAAAACACGTGTTCTAAACTCGTCCAATATCAATTTTAATTTCTCTGTGAAATATATGAATCCCTATTTACTTGCATTAAATTTTCTTTCTTTCGATGGCTGTGGATTTGTCTGTCTATACATTTAATCATTGTATCCAGTCGTCATCTTCAAGATGTCTGTAGTGTTTTTTTTATCCGTTATTAGATGACTCAAAACGTACTTAGGGTAAAGATTAAATAACCGCTTCATTTCTCACTACTGTTTCTTACAAAGGCACATTCCTTTCTCTCTCCCCATTTCTCGTTCCCGTGTCCATTGTGGTAATTTTACCACATTATGTTTGTTTGTTTATAATTAAGCACAAAGCTACACAATGG